AAAAAAAAAAAAAAAAAAAAATTATAATAAATAAAAATAGAATAGAAGCAAAAGCTGTGAAAGTCGAGCAATTAAATGTCCAGTATCATGTCAATTAGAATGCACATAATCGCTGGAAATTATCTTCATATATGTGCAAAAAAGCCAGTAGTTAAAGTATGTGAAGTTGTGAACAAATGATGATTGAAAGACGACTATATCCAACATGATCGTAAAACCAGTAAAGCTAATTCAAACCTTAGGCTTGCCAAACCAATTCGCAGGTTTGAATGTCGAGAGACGCCTCAATAAATCACCCCTTTCCCAGGGCCTGCAAGAAGGCTGTGCTAATCCAAGAGTTGAACCACAAGCACTAGTGCTCAATGACATATTCATGGGCGGCAAACACATGCGAGAAAGTGAACTTCCTTTTGTATTATGTCCTTGACCTAACCCGTCTGTGCTGCCAGCTTTTATAGGAACAGCTGGGGATGATGCACCAGCAGAACTGCTCAACAAAGCATACCAACATAAATTTGTGACGCAAGAAAATAGTTACTACAGTCGGTGCCAGAGAGCAAGTATCACTGAGCTGTCACCTATTTTACAGAAATTTCAAAGAGACAGAGATGACTTATCAACTTTCCCCATGGAAAGCTGACCATCTTACTCTATTCCATATAAAGATCCTTTTAATTGAGCAAAACTTTTTGCTGCTGGATGTGAAGTATGATTAAAAATCTCGTGTAAGCTTGTAGCATATTAGAATAAAATATTGTTAACAAGTGATCCGTGCATAATCAAAGTCAAACTGAATTCAATGTACAAGAACGCAATTACACAGTGATATAGAACTCCCTTTCTCTCCCCTTAAGCACAAATATACTTACGCATAACATACCAAAATCCAACATTACCTATTTCCAAAATCAAATTTATATAAAAATCATAATAGGGGGAAAAAAAATAGAGCAAATGAGGTCATTAACATCATTCCAAGCATCTCCATTTTACATCTATGAATCAAGTGACTTCAAATAAGTATGAATTCTTAACAACAAACTGAATTCAGAAAAGAAAAAATGGAAAAATCGATACTAATAAAACCTCTTCCCCACAAAGTATTGAACAAAACCAAAGACAACAATCATAATCAGTTCGTATTCAAACAAAATTAGTAATTAAAAGATCACTGAGGCCAGCCAAGGCACAACAAGCCCTAATTTGAAGCATATTACACATAAAGAAAATAGTGGGAAAAATAAAGAGAACAAAAGATAGACTGGCAGCGGTTCAAGCACACGATTGGCCTGGGGAAATTTACGCTTCCAGGAACATATGCGCAGATCACAATATCCCTAAGCAAATTGGAGCAACTGAAAAGTGGAATTGGGACAAAAGAGGGTTGAAGGGGATGATTTGAGTAAGCTCACCTCGCCGCGGAAGTGAGTTTACGGGGAGAAGTAGCCATTGGGGGCACAAAGGGGTCCCCTGAGGAGCTTATAGCTTCTTCCTTCATCTTCTCAATCTATATTTGTGTGTGTGTGTGAGTAGGTCGCTGTTTGGGTAACATAAGATGTGCGTGTCCTGCTGTATTTAGGTTCGGTCGCGCTCTCCCGCCGTTTGTTGTACTGCAGGGCACTAGCACAACTATTAAACGAAAGAGAGATTTGGCAGCTCGGCCGGCTTGAAGGCGATTGGCTCGGCCAGCGTGATGCAGATTAAAAAGTCATTTTAATTGATTGGATAATTTTTTTTTAGATTTTTTAAATCAAATCAACTCAATTCTACTCAATATTATTCATATCTTTTTTTTAAACAATAATTATATTAAAAAATTTAAAACTAAAAAAAGTACACCTGAAGTGCAAACAACACCACTAGAGACATAACAAAATCTGGATTCACCCCCTTGGAATTACACATTCGACCAAGGGGGTATATGCACCCGTCAGAACTCCATAAATGAGACAAAACAACTCCATAAAAAGAGACTAAAAATCAGACGCAATTGGACTGAAAACGAAAAACAAGAACAAAACACAAACAAAAAACTACAACACACACCTCCACTACCAGAAGAATATCACCTCTCCTGCAACTCACAAGAACACTGTTTCGGCCACCCGAGCCAGCATTGTAGGAGCTCGGTTAGGAACGTTGAATTTGTGCAAGTCACAGATGATCTACAAATTAACCCTAAGCGCAACGAAACTAGAAGTTATGGTTCAACGCATACCATGTAAGAAAATTCGCAGACTCTGTACAGACATACATGGCCTACGGGGCCGGACGAACGTTTCTGTGAAGTTCTTCGCACCTCGTCCTTCTCCTCGTCTTCATCGTGTTCGTCTCATCGCCTCTTGGTGTTCAAGTCGCAACTCGAATCGCCTTGGGCTTCACACTATGTGATATGGTATATATATTAGCTAGGTTAAAATCTGGTTGTACTAGGTTTGTGGGGGCTAAAATGAAGTAGCAACAACAAATAGTTATGAAGGACCTATGTGTGATGGGCTTGTAGGTAATGGGCCTACATGTGATGGACCTACATGTAATGGACCTACTTATGATGGACATTCTGTGATGAACCTATTTAGGATGGGTCACATGATAAACCCACATGTGGTGGACCTACATATGATGGACCTACTTATGATGGATCTACATGTGATGGACCTATTTAGGATGGGTCACATGGTAAACCACATGTGGTGGACCTACCTGTGATGGACCTACTTATGATATAGATCTACATGTGATGGACCTATTTAGGATGGGTCACATGATAAACCCACATGTGGTGGACCTACATGTGATGGACCTACCTATGATGGACATAGGGGGGGACCTATTGATCGACATATTTAAGGGTCTACTGATGATGGACCTATCGGTGAACCTATGGAGGGAGCAGCCGAGTGACCTAGTAGGACTTAGTATATATGGGATTAAGTATGAATAGAGGAATAAAACAAACCTTCGGAAGAGGTCTATATAAGCCTGTGTCACTAGGGACACGTGTAAAGAAAGCGTAAATATTGGCAAGACAAAGCTTGCCCAACAAACTTTATATTTCTCTATAAATAGGTATAAATAAGTAATGCAATATTTTTACAACATGACATATACATTTTCATAAGCTTTACACGCTTTCATTACCATCTTCCTAAAAACCTTTACTGACTTGAGCGTCAGAGGTTTTACGCCTGGACCACTTCTCGTCATCTTTTCAGGTCACCAAGGCGTTCCACGGCGATCGAGCGAGCGGAGGATCGAGTTCGGGTGCGAAGAGCTTATCACTATGGTTAAGAATTTTCTGTGTTTTCCATATGTTTGAATAGCACTTGTGAGTTGTTTCACATTGTTTCTACTGGGTAAATGAGCCTAGTTTATAAGCCTGTGGGCTACTCCTCCCATCACGAATTGGTTTTGAGATGGAACATCACTAAGGTGCACCTAGACTCATCCTCTTATGGTGCTATTCATCTGGTGGGACTGCACCCTCTTCCTCCGATTCTATATATATTACCACACTTCAATACATCCTCAAAACAATGTTTATATAGCAAGCTACTATGGCATAGATCTATCTAGAACTAAAAAATATAGCTAGGAATATGATCTCCAAAACTCTATCCATAAGCAATGGTGTACTAGGTGAAGATGGCAGCATATGATGTCTCCGTTGGTGTGCTGTGCCTGGCTGCTTTTTGCTCGTCCTTTTACCCTGATGGGCCCACAATCTGTTATGGTGACATGGCTGAGGGATGGGCTCCTTGTTTGGCTTCACCTTAACACCAACATTTCCAATAGTTATATTTCTTTTCAGTTTTCCCTAATCAACACCAAGTCAATTTTCACGGTCCTGCAATAGATGAATATTGCCACACTAACTTCCCATTTATACCCACTTAATTTTCTAAATTAATGTGTAAAGAACTGGAAAACTTCCATAGAAATGGCAGATTTTCTTTTAGTACGTGATAGTGGGCCATTTAACAATTTTTTAAAAAATAATGCCCAACATATTTTATCAGCAATGTCCAAATAATCATATGTCATGTCTGTTTGATAATAGTATATATGTACCCAATTCTGTGGGTCAGCAGACAAATTGAAGCCCCTGCCAACTGTACATTGCAACAATATAATTTTCCTCATCAGTTTCAACACACTAAAAATTAAAAGAGCATCTTTTCTTGTTGAAGTCTAGTTTTAATAATATTATTGGACCCTTGTGATTCTATAATTAACACATTCTATACCCTTCTGTTGTCTTGCAACTACAAATATTACATGTTTAATTATGTGGGATCTGAATAATGATTGGTAGTTTGATATGAGTGTGACAAATGAATAATGGAACTTTTGAGGGAGTCTGATGCATGTGACAATGTGGAGAAGGAGAGGGACCATTTGCAAGATTAGAGTCCTTTTAATTTGACTGATTAAAAAATATATCATAATGTAATGAGTCCAAAACAGAAAGTTAAGATGATACAATGAACCTTGAGGAGTTGAAAGGTTGGAATTTTTTATTTTATTTCCTGATTTCATATCCCGTTATTAATATGCATGCATTTTGTTTGTACTTTGTATATGATAACATATTGTAAATTAGTATTAAGATGTCTATAGGCTTATTCAATAGAGAAATTCAATGGGCATACATTTTTTATTCAGAAAGATATTTCTTTTAGACAAAAGTACATAAGTTTCTAAAAAAAATGTTAATGACAATAATAATAATAATATATATTGACTTTTAACCTATTTAAAATGTATAATATTTCATAATACAACTATATATATTTAAAAAGTATGATTAGTCCAATCTTCTTTAACTTCGACTTGTTAAGCCAATATAATTGAGCCTAATTTTTATGTTCTTAGCTATATTGAAGATATCGACAATGGATTTAGAACCGGTTTTCTATCACATTTGGGCACTCACACAAACACCATCACAAGTCACTTTTCATTATATTCCAATGACAGAGACATTGTGCTACGTCCTCATCAACTGATTCACTGCGTATCAGCGTATATGTGTCACATTTATTTATTTTATATAAGTCTAACAATTTTTATAACATTTATGCATTTGGCAGTAACCAATATATATGATAAATAAACCCAATTTCTCTGCACAACACAGTCTGATATGTGAAAACAAAAGCAAGTGGAATTTTTACAAAATACTGAAGTGATTTTAATGTTTTATTGCTGTCTCAATTGCGGACAGGGATCTCAGTTTGATCTGATTTCAGATAGTTTTTTTTATCATGGTTTAAGATTTGATCATGTGTAAATAAAATGTTGTTTGCATCAAATGGAGCATTGTTCTTAATTAATGTAGATCTTACAATAATTGAGGTATCTTTTGTAAGAACAAGATCGTTATGATGATTTTGTTAACTTTTTAACATCATAACTAGTTTTTGTCCCGTGCATTTGCACGGAAAACTATATGATACATGAAAAAATAATAAAAATTATAAACAACAGTAAAAATCATAACAAATTCATTGAAAAAAATTTAAGAAAAATATAAATATTCTTAGACACTTCTTTATAAAACAACGTCGTGGTTTTCTATCGTCAAAATCTCCCTCAGCTCAAATCAAAATCTTCAAACTCCACTGGCTCGTAACTCTAAAAAGCGCCATGTATAATTGCTCACTAAATGCAGAGCTCTTCAGTAGTAAGCCGACGTGCGACAGACTGTCTTTGACTCTTATTGATCATGTCATAGCATAGGAAACACTTCTTTATATTGTTTGTCCTCGACTCTTATTGATTGATAGAGATTGTCATTGCTTCTTAATAAAAAAAATACCATCTAAATATAAATGAGTAAATATAATATTAATTTTTTATATAAACAAAAAATTTAAAGTAACTGATAATGAGTATAGAATTACCCTTGCGGATTCAAGTTATTTCAACGATGTTCTTTTTATATATCTAAGATTTAATTTTTTTTCTGATTTATATAAATATAAGCACATTTGACTAATTTTTATAAAATTTATTGAAAAAAGTTACTATTTTTTTGAAAAACTGATAAGATATTAGATAATACTGTACTTAAGATAAATGTGGGATTAACTAAAAGAAACTTTTTTAATTTAGTCATTAACTAATTAAGTTTAACTAAAAGAAACTTTTTTAAATGTGAGATTAATGAGTAATTAATTAAAAAAAATGTAACTTCTTTTGGAGGGAAAATGAAAATGTTTTTATTAAATGTTTTATTAAATGAGGTTAGCTAGCAATTATATATATATAGATTATCGAATATAACATTGGGTAAGGCTACAGTCCAATTAAATGTACCTATAGATAAGTGTAGCATGTACATCTAACGGTTAAATATCTCAACGGAATGGTTCCGTAACGAGACTATAGTCTTTTCCTATAACATTACTAATGCATAGTCGTGCAACAAGATTTATGGAGCTGTTTCGTTTTTTTTTCTCTTCTTTTTTTAGGAGCCACCCATTATTTTTTTCCTCTTCTTTTTTTTTTTTAATTTTTTTAAAATATAGTGCAAAAGATTTTTCTTTTTATACATAAAACTTACATTAATTATAAAATTAAAAAATAATAATTATATTTTAAATAAATATATTATATTTTATAGAAATATTTAATTATGAAAATATTAAACATTATTATATTTAACATAATGTATCTTGGTGAATTATGTATAATTATTATTACTTTATTTATTTGTGTTGACTTATCTTCGTTAGTAGTAATATTTGTCATTATTTGTTATGGGGTTATTTTTATTAGCTACGCTCGTTGTGATACTCCAACATATATATTCCAAATTATCAGGATTTTCATAATCTTACATCTCTTACATATCATTCGGCTAACACCTCGAGGTCGCCCACGGGCCAAATACACTATCTTGCACTAGCTCGTCGGATGAAGCCTCAGGTCATTCAAGTCTTCGGTAGATAGATCGACCTACCATCCTTAGACACCTACCTCAACTTACTCGACCTTACTTGCTCGAGTCTAAAATCGAGCTATATATGTGAAGAATCCCCGTTCATGATTGAGCTCTCTATGCTATGTCAATTTCAACGTTGTACCAAAAATATTAGTAAAACCAAATTCAAATTGGAGACATTTGGAGCAGGCTATCCCCCCTATATATTAATTGAGAGCGTGCTGAGCCTACGTGGCAGACTCGCATGCTTCGGGATCCTATGTGGCAAAAATACATGCTTCGTAATTAGGCTTGGGTAGATTTAGTTTAGTTCTAATCCAAATATATTTAGGTTTGGATTATCTATAATATGTTGATTATTTATGGTAAGGGTGGGCGCCGGCCGGGACGGTCCTGGATTTGACTTGTCCGGATACTCATCCCACTTTTATGAACCCTTCCATGAACGGTCCGAGATGAGGCACCGTCGACACCCATGTAATACATGGGTGTTGTACTAGTTTATTTATTATTATAAAAGATGGTTGTAATAATTGGAAGAGCAATAAGAGACCCTGACCACATGGCTGGCGTCAGCATTGACCTTTCCACGTTGGTAATAGCCAAGTGAGAACGGCGGTTAAATTGGGTCAACAGAAGGTGGGTCCAAAGGTTTCCAAAGAAGCTTCTAATTAGTAATTACCATTCCCTAAATAAATATAAATTGGCCGTCAGCGTCGCATATGGATGCATGCTAGATTTTCCAATGTATTAACGCGTTGGACTTTCTGGATCTTGCAGTTGAGTGAAAATAAATTTTGCTAAATAATTAAACTAAATCATTACTCCTACTTTGTCTGAATTTCAATCGAGACAAGCTTAATCAGTAAAACTCATTAAAATATATGCTAACCAAACATGTATTTAATAATATTCGATTAATTAAATCAGCTTGTAAGCAGACTCCTTAGCTTAGAGGCCCACAAGAAAACTCATATTCATATATAATTTAGAGTACTTATTTGATTTTCATTATAATAGCACATTTATATATGCTCTTGAAATATGAGTCACAACAATATATATGTTTGGTAAATATAGCTCTGATTTTCGCTTGATTTTCAATAAAACGAGCTAAACTCAAGCTCCTCGAACTTGGCTCAATTTATCGAACGTGCACACAACCTGCTTGATGTCATCTGATAAAGAATTTTGGCAGAAAGTCCGGAAACAATTAGAGTACTTACTATTACTAGGCACTAGCTATTTCTTCAAAGTAAATGATTAATGCAAATTTACATTCTTCTTTTTTCTTATTCTTCTTTTATTATGGTCACAATTAGACATGTTTCGGTAATTAATTAGACAATTATATATACTTTTTCAACAGATATACATATTTTAAAATTGATGATATGTCATACTCTAGAACAAATTAAACGAAAGCATAACACTACAATATAAGTATGATCTGTGTTATAATTATTTTATGATGTGTCAATCCGATTAATGTTTAAGCTTAAACAGCATATTGTTTATATTTTAGACTTGATGCAGCAAAATAATACAGTGATAATTGAGTTGAGGCAAACATATTTAATGCCCCACCTACTTACCTGCAGTAGCAAGATTAAAATTGAAGATTGGTAAAAGGCCTGGGGAGACCACCCAACATATCTGAAGCTAGCTCAAAGCACAATTGCATCAATGCCAACAAAAGGCAAAAGCTCTGCAACCAACTACCCTGCCCATATAGTACCCATTAGTAGTCAATTATTACTAGAATTAATTAATTACGAGAACACATATTACTATGAAATGAATTCACTATAATTGGAAAATGATGGTATCGGACAAAGGTACAATGGATTGTAATATATATAGGTCAATCCATAGCATTTTTAAGCTTTGATATAGTCGAATTATCAACCTATTAAACTTTGCAGTTGAATCTTCTAATTTGGTATCACAAACCAGGTCAATCTCTATAACAATGCAAGGACTTATCTTGACGAAGTCATTTCGACGTTCAAATAAAAAATAACAAACAGAAAATATGTAATTTAAAAAGATTATTGAGACTGTAGTTTATAAAATTAACGTGTGTCACTTATAAGTAATAAACAAAAGAATTTTATTTTAGAATACGATTTTGCAGAGTGCAGATTATAAAATGGGGAGATTCTACAGTCCCGTTACAGAACCATTCCGTCGGGATTGGTAATCGTTAGATCAACTATCCACGACAGTTATATGATGATCTAACGGTTACAAATTCTGACAGAATGGTTCCGTAAGGAGATTTTAGCATTTCCCTATAAAATGAACTTAAATCTCTTTATTTACGAGGGACGAATGATTTATTTTATAAGAAAAGTTGAAATTAAGGACGTGATATGCAAAGCTACCCAATATGTGTATAAAAATATGTAACTTGATGAATATCCAAACTAATTTTATGATTACTATATGAAGATCCTGCATTCCAAAATTATCTATTTTTCTTAGAATTGTGGCCTACTATAAACACATACATACAAGAAGATTATGAGAGTGTATTGATTTGAGATTTGGAGTGATATTTTGAGATTTTTAAGAATTTGAGATATTTTTAAATATCTTGTGATTTTGTAACACATTTTAAAAATCTCAAATTAATACAAAACTTTTAAAAGTATAAAATTTAAATTAAATATAACAAAAACTTTAAAGTATTAAAATATCTCTAAAAATCCCAAATGAATATTCATAACTGGTTTGACAAAAGTTTATAGAATTTTATATAATTGGTTTGACACACGTCCATATCCATATGAGTGCGTAATGCATATTGTGTAATGTAACGGTAATATAGTATGAACCCACATTAATTAGTTTCTCACATCTCCCTATAAATTGACGCGGCTGGATGTCTTTCCCAGAACTCTGTTTACTGCAGCTACCTTGCCTAAACTAAATATATCTCCATATCACACAATTCCCAGAACCCTCACTAAACAATATTTTCCCATTATTTTCAATCAATATAGTAATATAGTCAACTTCTTCTTTCTGACAGACTAATTTCGACACACACTCTCTCTCTATCACGTTATTAAAATTAATTACATGTCCCCTCCTCTATAAATAAAGCCCTCCACCAATCCCATCTCAAAATACCATGAAATATACCCCAAAACTCTAATTCACATCACCCAATAAAAAATGAATCAACTGGTTCTGGCGGAATCCATTTATTCTCTACCAGACTCCGATCTTGACCTGAGTTTCACCTCCGTCGCCACCACCACCGACCGCACCACCTCCGCCCGCAGCAGCCTCGCCCGGAGCAGCCTCACTCTCAGCTTCAATGAGTCCCGCCTGTCCGCTTCCGCCGCCGGCCCGATCCCCCACCGCCGACCCCACCGCCGCCACGACAACCCGAACTGGGCGGCGATCGACGCCGCCTCCGCGCTGTCCTCCGACGGCGCCCTCCACCTCCGCCACCTGAAGCTCGTCCGCCTCCTCGGCTCCGGCGACCTCGGCCGCGTCTTCCTCTGCCGCCTCCGCGACAGCGACCACGCCGCCTTCGCCCTCAAGGTGGTCGACCGCGACGCCCTCACCTCCCGGAAGCTCGCCCACGCGCAGACGGAGGCGCGTGTCCTCTCCACCCTCGACCACCCTTTCCTCCCCACCCTCTACGCCCGCCTCGACGCCTCCCACTACACCTGCCTCCTCATCGACTACTGCCCCAACGGCGACCTCCACTCCCTCCTCCTCCGCCAGCCCCGCCGCCGCCTCCCCCTCTCCGCCGCCCGATTCTACGCCGCCGAGGTCCTCCTCGCCCTCGAGTACCTCCACGCGCGGGGCATTGTCTACCGGGACCTCAAGCCGGAGAACATCCTCATCCGGGAGGACGGCCACGTCATGCTGTCGGACTTCGACCTGTGCCTCGAATCAGACATTTCCGCAAGGCTCGAATCTCAGATCCGCCGGCGGCGGCGGCGGATGGAGAGGGTGACGGAGTTCGTGGCGGAGCCGACGGCAGCTTTCTCGAAGTCGTGTGTCGGGACGCACGAGTATCTGGCGCCGGAGATTGTTTCCGGCGGGGGCCACGGCAGTGGGGTTGACTGGTGGGCGTTCGGAGTGCTGATCTACGAGCTGCTGCAGGGGACGACGCCGTTTAAGGGAGGGAGCACGGAGTCCACGCTCCGGAACATTGCATCTGCAGGAGGAGTAAAGTTCCACGTGGCGGATGGTGAGGAGGCGGGAATGGGAGTGGCGAGGGACCTCATCGGGAGGCTGCTGGTGAGGGATCCGAGGAAGAGGCTGGGGTGGGCCAGAGGAGCTGCTGACATCAAGCGCCACCCGTTTTTTGATGGGATCAAGTGGCCGCTGATTAGGATGTACCGGCCGCCGGAAGTGCCGGGGCTGGCCGTCAGGAGGAGCCGACACGCGGGCGCCACGTCACCAAGGAGGCGGCGGTGCTTCTGGAAGAGGTTCAGCCGTTGGGTGAGGATTAAAGGTTCTCTACGCGGAGTCAACTCAAATTCCAATTATTATTCCTATAGATGTTAGTTAATTAAGGATTAGTTAGTTAATTGCGCGAGAGGTTTTCTGGTAAATTCACACGTCAGTTTTTGGAGAAATTTATACTGTTGATCATGAGTGGATGTAAATCTGTATATAGAAAAGAGAGATTTGTTTTCACTCTACAGTTTTTTGTTTTTTTGTTTTTTTTACCAATTGTTGAAAGTTAAACTTATGCGTTACCAAATCATATTTATTTAGATCAATAATTCTGATTAAAATTCCTTTTATTTATCTGATAGTTAAGTAATTTTATTTTATTTTTTACAATTTCATTAAAGTTGGTTTTGGAGAATATGTGATTGGTAACAACCATATGTATGCGACTGCAATCGAAATCGAAAGCATTGGAGCCTTGTAAAGTTGTAATTTCAAGCTCGAGTTAATTTGCATGTTATTCAAATACTTTTCGAGTTTGCAGGTGCTCAAATAGATTAAGTTAACAATCTTCTTTGATTTGTTTGGCTCATATGTCTTTTGGACAGAAGCTAAAAAAGATGATTAAGTTTAATTTCTTTATGAATATCATAAAGACATAAAAAGAAATCACGATCTTCAATTATTATTTGCGACATTTGTGTTAATATTCATGAACATATCTTCTTTTCAATTGTAAACCAGCTCATCTTTTATTTTACTTCTACTCAAATTTTAAACAAATGGGCTTTAATTAATTAATTGAACTCAAGCAAAAGTCTCAATTATTATTCTAGGCGAAGATGCTCTAATGTAAATGTCAATCTTCTTTCTTAATAAATAAATTAAAATTAACAAAATGACATAAAACTTTTTTTCTTTTTAAATAATAAGCCGATAGAGCCTCAAAATAGTTAATTTGATTACCAACTCTGAAAAATTATGAAATAATAACAAAAATAAAAAAATAAAAAATGCTCATCTTCGGGCAACCAGATGGATCCTCGGTTTAGGAAATGGATAGGGCTGTGCTGGGAGAATTTGACTTTCAATTATCAAATTAATTTGTAGGATTTAAAAATGACTTTCAATTATCAAATTAAAAAGCCAATTAGT